TAAGATTTTGATACATTTGCTCGTCGGGTTCTTAGAGAAGGAACTTGTGGGTTTCATCAAACAACCATTTAGTTTTTTTTTTTTTTACAGAACGATGAAACAAGAAGGAATAGTACGGAACTTCACTTTGTTTAATAAAAAAAATTGAAATTTTGAAATCTAAAGGAGAGAATAGCAACAGAATTATCAATCTAAAGGAGGCGAAACTCATGGTGATAGAATTCTACAGAATATTAGCAAAAGGATTACAAAGGATATATAATTCATTATTTATTTATTTATTTATTTATTTATTTATTTGAAGTTAAATTTTTTTAACCCCACGCATGACAGAATGCTAAATTTTACATATGTCTGCGTTTTTGGTAGCGAAAGTTCCTTTTTTCCGCTCAACTTGCCTATTCTTCAGTTTCGGCCTTTCTTTCACTTCGATAATCAGTCGCATTGCTGGCTTATTTCATATCCCGAGCAAAGCTTAGAAGACAATTTTAAGGTTAATAAGACTGTTGAAGATTTGAGGCATAAAAATGTAGTCTAAGTGGTATTTCTCCTTACAATATCATTACAAGATCAAGCATACAGGTAATAAGAAGACATCAATTGATCATCAAAGATAAAATGTTATGGCATCAATATAGTAATTATTCCGAATAGCAAAACAGAAAACATACGTAAAGCAGTGAGGAGGATATACACGTTGAAACTGAAGTTTGAAAGTTATTCAGCTGTTTGCTTGTGTTATCTCAAAATGTTAGCGCTCCTTACGAAGAAAATCTGTAAAGAAGGAATTTGTGGGACCGATCAAACCACCGCATATTTTCGTTATTCTTGGTTTTCACGTGACGTCACCAAATTCTAGAATTCAAAACCGGGAGTCCTACAAAATTTTTACCTTCATTCAAGGAAAGATTACCTAAAAATATGTCTTTTCACAATTTCTTAGCTCGACGTCGTACTTCCTTTTGAATATAGAAGAGCTTCAATTTCCGAGTTTTCATCGTGCGTGACATCAAGAGGACGGCCGTGACAGGGCTGTTCCGTATCTTAAAAATGCCTCTTCGAGTGATTTTCAGCATTCTAAACAATTTAAGTTTGAAGAGAAATATTTATCTTAACATTCGGAAATTCACAAGGGAAAACAAACCTCTTTTCTGGCAAAAGTGAACTCCAGATGTTTTTTCCTATTTTCGGAAGCCATGTTGGTGTTCCTCAGAGGGACACCAACATGGCGTCTCCGTACTAAGCTCTATAAATTTGTGTGAAACATTTTGTCAAATAACTCGAGTACGGAATACCGCACAGACCTGACACTTGGACAGGTTTCTTATTTACTTATCATCTATAACATGTCAATTTCTTGACTTCATTCATGGAATGGTTTCAATTTTTTTTTCGCGCACACGGCAATGGCGTGGCAGTGAAAGCCGGCAATAGAATGATGAAATACGTAAAAGCTAGTACGGAACCTAATGGTTTATGCTCCGTTTAACAGGAAATTTTAAAATCAGAAGGAGAGAGAGCAATAGAATTATGAACCTTTCTTTGGCCGAACGGAAAATGCGGTGAAATCAGCAAGGTAGGCCTGGGGTGGATGACCTACAAAGTTTTAGTATTACTGGAGCCACTGGTCACAGTGACCCGCGCCCGCTAATAACCTCGACAGCTACCTAGGGCAAAAATGTATATAGATTTTCTTGTTCGTGGCCATTAACTGTTCCGTGAAGCGAACGGTTTTTGGACAGCAATGCTCTGTAACATTAAAACTGTGAGTTAGAGGAAAAAGGTATTAAGTTTCCGAGGAAAAATATCCGCAGGCTTCAAACCAAACAAAGGGAAAGCCCCGTATGTAGCGTGTTGAAATTTTAGTGTTTCTGGCCTCGAAAAGAGGCGGAACTTTAATACAGGCTCTAAGATTACAGCATTCTACAACCGTTCGCAAGACCAACAACAAATAGTAAAATAATAATAATAATAATAATAATAATGATGATGATGATGATGATGATGATGATGATGATAATAATAATAATAACAAAGTTTATTAAAATCTCCTTAGAAAACCTATTTACAAATTCTCACCTAATTACAAATTATAATATATGACAAATTCACATTCCACTATCGTAGACTAAAATTTTGATGAAATTAACAATATTAAGAGATCCTAAAATACTAATTTACAAGCTCACTTCAGTATCGACTTTCTAAATTAGAGCACACACGCTTGGTTAGCGTTTAAGCGACAGCCATTCGTATGACCAATTTGCATTCCACTATTCAAAATTTTGATGAGATAAATTAATATTAAAAAGATCCCAAAATACTAATTCACAAGCTCACGACATTATTCACTTTCTAAAATTATCGGATACACGCTTGGCTAGCGTTTAAGCGGCAGTCATTAATGAAATCTCTTTGTGGAATTTTGCGGAAAGGTGTCCTGGAGCCTCTTACGCATGTGTGCACCGACCTTAAAATCTCCAAAGAAAGCAATGTTCTAATCCAAGTGATAGTAAAGTGATAAGGTTCCTCATTCTTTTCTTAGAGCTTCTCGGCTAGGCTATTGAGAAAGCAATTGCAGTCGGCTCCCATCCCACCGTTGTTTCCAAAAACTAGGGGAGTGAAAGATCCCATTTCAACGTCCAGCACCCTCTGTTGGTACCTCCGCTTTTTCTCCCCCTCCTGCTCTTTGAAGATTGTGGATGTTGCTTTTTCCTGGTTACACTTGGAGTTAACATGCGTTACTCTGACGTCAAAAAATGCTGTAACTCCTCCAAAATCCCGACTTCAACGTTGGTGTAAACCTTACCGTGAAAAGAGGTAAGTACGGTTGCGAACTTCATCGTGTCTCTGCACCACGAACCCTCCCGTTTTGCATGACAGGGCATGGCAGACAGTATACTACTCACCACAAACACACTTGCTTGGTAAATCAGACAGGGGCACATTATACCTTAACCGCAGAAAGTCTCTGAATTCTTTTTTATTCAGCACTAAGCCTTGTTCAACAAGAGGCACTGCGGTAAGCTACGAGCTCACACCCCTGTCTCTCGATTGGTTAACTGGCCGCGCGCAGCAGATGCGAGGGTAGAGTGGAATAAATACTTTCCATTCTAGATTTCACCGGCGTAGTTTTCAAAGCTTGATGTTGTCTTTTTAACTCCCCCGTGGAATTCTTGCCTGCCACCATGAACGTGCTCTGTAAGGTAATAGAATCTACGTGCGATGCTGTTATTGTCGTAGAAGCAGCGAGCTGCTGTGGAGCTCCAAACCGCAAGTCAGGTACACCTATTCCTCCTTGAGCGGGTGTCAAAGTCACCAACTGACGAAGATCGCTAAGGAGGGACTCCGTTTGACCGAATAGTGTTGGGAGAAGTAAGTCGTCGATCGCCTCTTGAATAGGGTCAAGGTAATCTTTAAACGACTCAGTCAGCGTTGGCCGCTTGAGACTGGCTCCTTGCTATCTCAGATAGGGCTTCAAGTTCTCCTTTCCATCCAAGGACCTTTCCCGACAATATTGATCTTTGAACTCTTGACATCCGATAACGGCCTTTAAGTGGCGCTGACCTTCAGTTGTAATATTAACCTAATCTCCAAACACCTTCTTTGCCTCAACTGCAAGTAAGTCCGACTTGACAATCAGCCAGCTCTTTGGTCCATTCACTAGATAACCATACCTCTTTCCTTTCTGACTCGGGTGATCGTACCAATTGTACAAAGGCACAATTTGTCCACGCCCTGCAGAGTCGTCGGCTAGCCATACTTGTTTAACACCTGGTGTGCTTGTCCTTAAGCTCTAGATATTGATAGATGTATTGACCGAGTACCAGGGCATGGCCAAGGAATCCCCCTGCGTCGTACCCTCCTGTGATTATATCTCACCTCCGCCGCAAATAAAGAGTCTCAACGGGCTTATGTAGGTGTTAATTATGTAAATTGACATTTCCTTCCAGGTTATCTGAATGTTATGTAAGGCGACGGATCTGTTCAAACGGTTAAGGGCGTTGCTTGCATCTATAAGTAAAATATCATCTGTTCCTTCCTTTTCAAACACATGACTCATAGCATGTATCGCGACCTCTGAGCCTCCGCTATGGCCTGTGCAAACTTTAAGGGGGCCCGCTGGGTCTTTGATCTCTTCCTTTAAAAATCCAGCAATAGTTTTTTGAACTATTCGTCCCAGAACCTTACCAACGCCAATAGGTCGTATTCCAGGGTTTTTATCCAAGGGGATGAGTCTGCAGGAGGTGTAGCCTTCCAGCAAAGATGGGTGGTAAGCGATCTTTAACAGATTTCTTGTGAAAATGGCTGTCTCCTCTCTCAAAACCTTGCCCTCAGCCTTGAAATTCTTGGGCGCTTTCCATTTAGTCAAAATTTCCGGAATTTCCGGTTCGGCGGTAAATGGAACACGTTTCGTCGGTTCGTCCCACTGGAAAATTCCCAGAAAAAGTGGAAAATCTAAAAAGGTGGTCCCGTTTTCCCGGTTGGAATTTCCGAACGGAATGTCGTGTTCCATTGACGTTTCTTGTAGCTTGTACCAGTTCCAGGTCCACGGTCGGGCACCCGGCCACGTACCGGGGTTTACGACCAAATGGAACAACTTTTTACCGATCGGAAATTCCACTTTTGCTACCACCGAAATTTTCGGGTTTTTTTCGTAAATGGAAAGCGCCCCTTGAAGCAAAGGATTCTTCGATATAGCTCGGCGTCCATCTCCGACGGCAATTCCGTTTAATAATAATAATAAATTTAAAAATAAAAGTCAATCACATGACCAATTTGCATTCCACTATTGAAAGACTAAAATTTTGATGTAACAAAAATTATTAAAAAGATCCTTAAATACTAATTCGATAACTCACGCCATCATTCACTTTCTAAAATTAGCGGACACACGCTAATAATAATAATAATAATAATAATAATGATAATAATAATAAAAATAATAATAATAATAATAATAATAATAATAAATAGCACTGAAAGTCCTCTTCTTCGAAATGACGATGGATCTGAGGCTAATTCATTCAGTCCCTCCCTGGTACTCGTGTGCAATGCCCAAACCAGTCTATGAGTCATCTGAGGCATTAGCGTCTTGGAATGTCCCAGTTTATGCGGACCACACCATCTTCAAGGCTAACAGAGTGGACGCTCGATTTGTGGACCACAAGAATAAGAAGGTGTGGGCTGTGGAGATGTGCTGTCCGTGGATGGAGCATCAGGAAAAGAAGTCCGAGAAGAAGACGGTCAAATACGGGCCACTGCTGAAGAAGCAGTACCCTGCCTATGACGTTGACAAATATAACATCATCATTGATGTGCTGGGGGGATGGCCAAGGGATGTAGACCTGACAATGAGGAAGCTCTTTGGCAGCAGGAGCTAAGACGTATTGAGAAGGATGCAGAAGGCTACCATCTCGAGTTCTCTCTACATAGCGAGAACTACCGTCACTTGACTTTCCCTGAAGGAATAGCATAGGAGCTCAATATAATTTTAGTATCAGAGAGCTTTAGATTGTCTATAAGATTTTTATCTTTTATCGCCAATTTTTTTTTAACTCAGCAGTTTCCTTTTCATAGTTCCTTCAGATCGCATAGGTTACGCTGCGCGCCCTATGTGGCTCTATTTTAGCATCCATACGTTTATCAACTGCACATAATAATAATAATAATAATAATAATAAAATAATAAAAGATGTTGGACTTGACTGGAATCCCAAGAGAGTGCTCGGTAGTGCATGTTAAGAAGGGGGCTAAAGTAGAGGACACAGAAGGAGTGAAGAGAGACGAGACGTCAGTCATACTTAAAGTGCTTAAAAGAGGGCAGTCAGCACAAGTTTCTTGGAGTACTGGAGTCCACGAGGTAAGAAGATAAGTTAGCATCCAGGGTTGCTTCTGAGGTGTATTTGGACAGATTGTCTGTAATATGGACCGGTACATTGTCAGACTATCACCGGATTGTGGTCTCAAATCAGTATGCTCTCCCAGCGCTGACCTATCTAATGTGGACTCGACACCTGTCTGTGACAGAGCTTCAGCGAATTGACCGAGAAGCACGCTAGATCATCGTGGAAAATGGCAGTAAACACCCTCTCGGCTTTGTGTTACCTAGAAAGAGAGCATGGGCGACGTGGCCTGAGATCAGTAAATTAGGATTATAAGGCCATTAAGAACAAAGGCGCACTTAAACTTTACAAGAACACAGACCCGACAATGAATCTCGTACGGAGGTTCGAGGAACGTTCGGGTGAGTACGCTGGGCCACAACTCACTTATCAAGTAGGCGACGCAGTTCAGTAGCATTCTAGGCCTAGAACTGAACCTGAATTACCTTACCTCGTCATGTTGTACCGAGGAGGGCGAGGTAGTCGAGTACTCGAAAATCAAGCAGACGTTGAGGGGCGCTCAGCAGCAGAAGTTAAAGGAACAGGTGGTGGGCGAAAATTGGCAGGGGAAGCTGATCGCATCTCGATGGGAGGATACAGAACAAGGAAACGGTTGCTTTGGCTGGCCAAGCTGGAGGAGGACATGTCCTACATATGTTATTGCTGGCGTGTACGAGCTTTACGAACGGTTGCTTCTTACCCGAGTAAATTACAGCAAGAAGACAAGAAGGGGGCCGGGCATTGAGATCATGTGCAGACTGTGCGGCAAGGCGGCGGAACCTGGCGGGATGTTGTGCGCTCGCGCAAAGCGAGTATCTGCGGTGGCATAATAATAATAAAAAAAATAATGCGGTGTTGAAGATCCTCTTCTTTGAGATACTGTACAGCTTGGACCTGATAGACAGTGTACCACCATGGTACTCGCCGACTGAACCGGTCTACGAGAACGACCGCGCGCAAGCCTACTGGGATGTCTCGGTGTACGCTAGCCATGATGAGGTGAGAGCGAATCGAATTGATGCCCGGATAGTTCACAACTCGGCAAAGACTGTCATATTTTTGAGACTGGAACTAAAGAGGCAGTTTCAGGGCTTTCAGGTGAAACAGTTCGACATCCTTATGGACGTGTTAGTGGGCTATAGTAAAGAACTTGAGAGCACAATGCGTACCCTAACAGGTTCTAGAAGCAAAGAGGTGCTACTAAAGATGCAGAAGACCGTCCTCTCAAGTAGTCTAAGCATAGCACGCCTTTTCAAAGTGATGATCTGAGAAATTGTGCGCCATAAACAGCGGGTCCCTAGTCAGATGAAACGACTATTTAATTAGGGATTTGACTATTATTATTTTAGCACTTAATCATTATCTAGTGTGCTACAAGGACTTTTTTTAAACCAATTGTTAGGTTTCGGTTGACTTTATATCTATCAATTAATTTTAAATGTTTTATTGGAGAAATTTTCCAACGGCCTTTAGGCTACGCTGTAGCGTGTAGTGCCTTTTTAGCTTTATCATCATAAAGATGTTTACACTGCTGCATAATAATAATAATAATAATAATAATAATAATAATAATAATGATAATGATTATGATTATTAGAGTCAATAGAGGGGAGATCCCTCGGCTAATAGGGACACCTAACTTTCTTAACAACGTATCTAAGATACAAAAGTATCACCATAAAATCGTGTACTAATTAATAATAATAATAATAATAATAATCATAATAATCATAATAATCATAATAATAATAATAATAATAATTATAAAAATAACAATAATAATAATAATAACAATAATAATAATAATAATCGAATAAGATTACATTTAGTTAAACATCTAATGATAAAAATTAGCGAAAGAAGTTTCACACTACGTTTCGATGACTCCATGTTATCATTTTCAAGTGAAAAGAAATGAAATTTGACAACTTAATATATACCGTGCAAGGCGATAAAACGTAAAATATACATGTAAAGGTGACAAATTAAATAAATAGTTTTGCGCGTATGGTATGCGCTATTAGTATTAGTTTCGCGCGTATGGAGAAGAAAAGGCCATGCTTGAACACACAATCAGACTCCATACGCGCAAAACTATTTATTTAATTTGTCACCTTTACATGTATATTTTACGTTTTATCGCCTTGCACGGTATATATTAAGTTGTCAATTTCATTTCTTTTCACTTGAAAATGATGACATGGAGTCATCGAAACGTAGTGTGAAACTTCTTTCGCTAATTTTAATAATAATAATAATAATAATAATAATAATACTTAATTAGGCTGATAAAATTTCGTTATCTAAAGCTTTCCACAGGTTAAATTTTCACTTAAAGCATCCGAACAGTCCGGCTATTAGTTTACACAAATATGTCTTTATAACAATTAAAAGAGCACAGGGCGATCTGGGAACGCAGAGATAACAATTCAAGTTTTTTTCTTAAATGTTCTTGTTGACTGCCCCTGTTATAAAATACATGCATTTTATAACCTCTAAAACTGACGTCATTAAAAGTTACTGACCGCTTTGTCAAAACACGGTGGCCGCTGAACACTGGTTTGCCAGTATTACAAACGGCTCATGACTACTGTGCTTTTGTTTTCTTTCTCTGGTTTCTAGTTAAGACCGTCATGGACAACACAGAGGAAGTTATAACGACCATCTTTATTGGTACATTCGTTGCCACATTTCTTCGCAAGACAAGTCGAGTTCTACAAGCTCTTGTGATGTGCAAGGAATGTTTGATTCTGCTAAACAACAAAGCCCTGGCTAAAACAAAGGAAATTGTTGACATAGCATACACAAGGATATACTTATCATTGTTTAAGACGTACTGCCTGCTTAACGATCACACAAGTGGGATAGAATGTGGCAGGAAACTTTTGCACTTTCTGCGTGTATGTGGGGAAAAATCCAAGGAAGGCCAGGTAACCTGTAAACTGGCAAAATTATACCACCTTCAAAGTCAATACAACGAGGCAAAAAGGCTTTATAAGGAAGCACTCAGCATCATGGTAGAAATAGGTGACAGGCAAAGGCAATCCACGTGTTATGAGAACCTGGGAACTGTTTATGGATCTCTCTGTGAATATGGAAAGGCTAAAACATACTACAAGAACGCACTTGTGATCAAAAAAGAAATTGGTGACAAACAAGGAGAAGCGGTGTGTTATGGAAACCTGGGAAATGTGTATGAACTTCTCTGTGAATATGGAAAGGCCGAAACATGCTACAAGAGCGCACTTCTGGTCACAAAAGAAATTGGAGACAAAAGAGGAGAAGCTACGTGTTATGAGAATCTGGGCACTGTGTATGAATCTCTCTGTGACTATGGAAAGGCCGAAACATACCAGAGAAACGCACTTGTGATCAGAAAAGAAATTGGTGACAAACAAGGAGAAGCGGTGTGTTATGGAAACCTGGGGAATGTGTATGAATCTCTCTGTGAATATAAAAAGGCCGAAACATACCACAAGAGCGCACTTCTGATCACAAAGGAAATTGGTGACAAGAAAGGAGAAGGTACGTGTTATGGGAACCTGGGAAATGTGTATCAATCTCTCGGTGAATATGGAAAGGCCGAAAGATACTACAAGAACGCACTTGTGATCAGGAAAGAAATTGGTGACAAAAGAGGAGAAGCGATGTGTTATGGGAACCTGGGAACTGTGTATGAATCTCTCAGTGAATATGGAAAGGCCGAAATATACCAGCAGAAGGCACTTGTGATCAGAAAAGAAATTGGTGACAAACAAGGAGAAGCGGCATGTTATGGGAACCTGGGAACGGTGTATAACTCTCTCGGTGAATATGGAAAGGCCAAAAAATACCAGATGAACGCACTTGCCATCAGAAAAGAAATCGGTGACAAAAAAGGAGAAGCTGTGTCTTATGGGAACCTGGGAACTGTGTATGCATTTCTCGGTGAATATGGAAAGGCCAAAATATACCAGGAGAACGCACTTGTGATCAGAAAAGAAATTGGTGACAAAAGAGGAGAAGCTGCGTGTTATGGGAACCTGGGAAATGTGTATAACTCTGTCGGTGAGTATGGAAAGGCCGAAACATACCAGATGAACGCACTTGTCATCAGAAAAGAAATCGGTGACAAACAAGGAGAATCGTTGTGTTATGGGAGCCTGGGAAATGTGTATAAATCTCTCGGTAAATATGCTGAGGCTAAAGAGTATCACAAGAGAGCACTTGCCATTAGCAGAGAGATAAGTTACTTAGCTGGAGAGACAGAATCGCACCTCTGCCTTGCACGCGATGCCATATTAGAAAATAATCTTGATGATGCTTTGTCGAATCTCCAGGCAAGCATTAACGAGAACGAGAAAATGCGAGCTTTTCTTGGACGTAATGACCAATTTAAGGTATCCTTGTTAGACAAGCGCAGTGGTTCCTATCAATTACTCAGCGCAATGTATTGTCTTATGGGAAATGCAAAAGAAGCTCTTTGTGTTCTAGAGCTTGAACGAGGCAGAGCTCTGGCAGACTTAATCTTAGGTCAGTATTCTGCTGAACAACAAATTTCAGTCAATCCGCTGTCATGGCCTGATATTGAAAGGATCGTGAAAAACGAAATTGACTGTAACTTTCTCTACATTTCATATTTTTGTAAATATATGTTTTTGTGGGTCCTTAAAGGGAACAAGCCAACACTTTTCCGTAAAGTAGACGTCAACGAATGTTTTGATAAAAAGGGATTGGAAAGACAAGTTCACGAAGTTTTCAGTGAGAAAACCTTCAGGCAATGCGGAGATCGATCACTGTTTTTTCTAAAAGCCGACGACTCAACACATAAAGCATCGGGGGAAGTGAGCTCGGCAGGTTTTCGCCTATTGGAGACCGAGGAAGAAGAAGAAGAAAGACAACCCGTTCCCAGCGTAGCCGAGTGTTACCAAATGATCATCGCTCCAGTGGCTAAATTTCTTGACGAACCTGAACTGGTGATTGTTCCTCATCGCTCTTTGTTCAAAGTTCCATTCGCGGCGTTAAAGGAAGAAGGTGAGAAATACCTGTCACAGACTTACAGGATCCGCATTATTCCTTCTTTTTCGACTCTTGGACTCATCCAGGACAGTCCAGCAGATTATCACAGTCAGACCGGGGCACTGATAGTAGGCGATCCGGACGTTGGGGACGTGCTTTACAAGGGACGCATACAAAACCTTTTTCGCATGCCCTCTGCAAGAAAGGAAGCGGAGATGATAGCAGAACTACTCGGAGCTGAGCCTTTGTTAGATGAGCGAGCAACTAAGCAGGTGGTTCTTCAGAGGATACCTTCTGTAAGTCTGATTCATTTTGCTGCTCATGGTCATGCCGAAAGAGGAGAAATTGTCCTCGCCCCTGAACGCCCCACTAACGCGACTCCATGCGAGAAAGACTACCTATTGACGGTGAATGACATTTCACAAATTCAACTGCGTGCCAAACTTGTAGTACTCAGCTGTTGTTACGGTGCTCAAGGACAGGTTAGAGCTGAGGGAATTATTGGAATCGCTCGGGCTTTCCTAGGATCCGGTGCACGCTCAGTATTGGCTTCCCTGTGGCCCATACCAGACAAAGCAACAGAACAGTTAATGAGTCGTTTCTACAAACACCTTGTTCGTGGGGAAAGTGCCAGTGAGTCTCTTCACCAGGCCATGAAGTGGATGAGAAGTAACGGCTATCATGACTTGGGGAACTGGGCGCCTTTTATGCTGATTGGAGATAACGTGAAGTTTGATTTCGGAAAGTAAAGGTTAGTTTGATCAATGAACTTTTTCTTATGGGTGTTAAATGAATTATTCAGGAAGCTCTCTCTGATTCCGCTGAAAATAAATAAATGGGTTTGGTGACAGGAGAGCAAAAGGTGCATTTTTATTGGACTGTTCTTATTCCGTGATTTATGAACATCATAAGAGGTTGAGTAACAATTCTACCTTTTCTGCGTAAATCAAAACTTTTTTGAAGAACACAGTACCTCTTATACCGTTTAATATATGGTTTTCCGTTCATTCTGCTTTTGAGAAATAAAACCTACTGATTCAGTGCAATTGCCGAGGTGTAAGAGGGCGCGCTTACTAAAAAATCTTCAACAAATACAGGGGTAGCACGGTGCGAGGTAATAGACAATTTGAACTCCATTAGATAGAATGACTGAAACGATTTAATCACAGTTCAAAGGTTCCAGAAGAAGCGGAGGAAACGAAGTAGTATTGTAGCTAGTAGGCTGCGATCAAACTAACTGAAGTAGTGGTAAATAAGTTGATTATGTAAAAATTTAACAAGTTCATTAAGAACACAACTTGACATGGCAACTTTAATTTCCAAGCCCTCCAGTTTGGTAGTTATGCGCCCGGTCGGAGTGAGTAATTATTTGCCATATTAGATTTCAACACTAACCCTACATAATCCGATATTTGTTTATCAGTTGCAGGTGTCTTACTGCCCGCTCACCACCGAGGAGTGCCCGACAAATGGCAACTTTCTTTTTAAAAAGGACGTCAGTAACGTGGACAGTGGAATAACTTGGAATGAGAACATTGGTTTATCACATTTGTATAACATAGCGATTTGTGTTCTCGCACTTTTCGTTGCAGTTTTCGTTGTCAGCAAGGCCTTTTTTGATTAAAATTAAGAGCAGAGGCAATCCTCACATATTTTTGGAGTTTAAGTATTAAGTTTTAATTTGGTAGTATTTAGAGTTCTCGAAATACATTCATTTGAATTTCAGTATGGTTACATCTTGCAAGGTATAAATAAGGTAGACAGTTTTTTTTTGCAAATCTAACACAAGTGAATGTGTTTGATAAAACTTACTTAATCGTCGATCAATATATATGATCAAAAGGATGAGGAGATAGTAGTTCCCTTGCTAAGTGCAGTTTACGATTAAGTGTCGAAAGTAATTCGTGTTTGCTTTACTACGCTATGTGATTGGTTGACAAAACACTTGCCACTTTGGAAATAATGTGATGGAATATGTTAAGCCTGGTGCATAAATGAGACTGATGTATTAATCAGTAAGTGACACAGGCATACTCGGAAAAATCCGAGTGCTCCTATCAGGAGTCGAACCTAAGACGTTCCGATTACTAGTTCGGATGCTCTACCACTGAGCTACAGGAGACTCGTGGGAGCTAATTCCATTAAACTAGGTTCATGGGACAAACATTATTTCCATCACATTATTTCCATTGTGCATATGCAACACATTGACATTCCAATCCTAGCAGTATGCAGGATGTTTGTCCCATGAACCTAGTTTAATGGCCTTAGCTCCCACGAGCCTCCTGTAGCTCAGTGGTAGAGCATCCGAACTAGTAATTTAGGTTCGACCCCTGATAGGAGCACTCGGAATTTTTTCCGAGTATGCCTGTGTCATTTACTGATTATACATCATTCTCACGTGTCACTTTCTCAGCAAATGAGAAGCAAACCCAATCGTGACTTGCTTGCACCCGTTTTTCCGCGCTTGACTCTGGTTACATGATTTATTTCCTTGGTGCATTGCGCTGTGTACTTCTGTTGTGATTGGTGTGAGTGATCACTTCAAAGATTTACTTTGTCGTTAGTGGTTTGCACGTTTTGCTTCAAATTCCCGCGAAGATGTTTTGTTAATATCGCATCTGTACAGTTTCTTTTTCATAAAGTAATCAAATAGGTGTAGATTTATATAGTCGATGGTTCATTTTTCGCTGACCTCTTTAAAACAAATGGATATTTACCTGCTCACTTTCAGATATAGCAAGCATTAAAGTATTATTTAACAATTATTCGCCTCTCTTGTTGTTTATTTGTTTCAAATTGTCACGCGTCAATGAACAGAGAAGCGCGGCCTGCCGATCACATGCTCAATCGAAATCTCATGTTCAATCGATAAACTCCACATGCCTCAAGCAGAATGTCAGTATTCTTTTACTGCCGCTTCAGTGAGACGTAGCATGGACTTCTGTGAATGAATGTTGGGTTTCTCCGACCCGTTTACTAAAACAGATGGAGAAGGACCAGGCTGTTTGGTGTAAAACTCTAGGATCACACGTTAGTGTTAGTGATAGCACTTTCCACTTCATCGTACAATTTCTTGTTGATGGCTTCGCCAGTTTACGGACTTTTTTTATAAAAGATAAGCTGCTTCAGGTAGGAATTAAGTCCTTTATTGGCTTCACTAAACAAGTACACGGTAGTCGCAGATCAGTGGTCGACAGCCGCTCGAACCGACAAACAACTAGTTTTCAGATTATAATAACTGCCATCTTTTCTCCTCAGAGAAACGTAAAACTTAGAGCGACATTTATTCATCTTGTTTACTTCCATGCTTTCAAATTCTGTCTTAAATTGGTTTTGTTGGTGAAAATCGTTCTGTAAAAATAAAGAAAATCTAGCGCAAATTCAACATAATCAAGTTGTTGTTCTCATTTTAAGCCATCGACAACGACAACATTTCCACTACAATTTACAAGGGTTTTTTTTATTACAGTTAGCAAAATGTTCATATCTTGCCTTCGAAAAGTGTCACCCCGGACTTAGCTGCATCTTTAGTGCCTTTCGAAATTGCATTTTCTTTCATCCTATTTACTTCTTCCTAAGAAACATCAACGAATCAGTAAGCGGCCATTTTGAAAATTAGTGCTTCCTCTATAATTACCTCGCGCGATGTGATTATAGCAGGATATGACGCAATCCTCCACTAATCAGATCAACAGAATCTCTATAATCACGTGAGTAATTATACCAAACATATAAATATATATATATATATATATGCCTGGAGTTTTAAAAACGAGTGCAGAAATCGCGCCTGAGATCCGTGCAGGAGCACAGCCGAAGGCTGTGCTTCTGCCTGGACTGGCCCTCTTATTTCTAGGGGGCTTGCCGTCAAGGCTAGTCTGGCTAGACACTACAGGAGCAGGGCTAATAGGCCAAGTGTACTCGGGGTGCCTGCCCCTATATCCAGGGGGGTAGGGTGGGTCAGAATTTGACACTTAATGCATTTTCTTGGTTGAGTGAGTAGGTATGGCTGCATTAGTTTGCTCTGATTTCAATTGCAGACTACATGAAGCTTTCAGATGGCCTTGAAGACATGGAAAATAAACACAAGACTCAAGTTGGCTGTTGGATGGCAACACTTTGCGATGTCGGGGTAAGTTCCCGGCGAAAAAGAGAATTCTAGTAAACTTGGCCTTTTTTAGTTGTGCGCCCGGTTTTCATAAAATCAGGTATATATCTTGGGTGAATGATGGTATAGCTGGTAAATTAATTCTGCAGCTGACTAACACGATGTCATGTAGTGCCAGAGGCCACCTTAAAGTGAACAAAAGTTGGATTTTCTTGAAATATATGCTTGGAGTTTTGAAAACGAGTGCAGAAATCTCGCCTGAGATCCGAGCAGGAGCACAGCCGCAGGCTGTGCTTCTGCCTGGACTGGCCCTCTTATTTCTAGGGGGCTTGCCGTCAAGGCTAGTCTGGCTAGACACTACAGGAGCTGGGCTAATAATCCAAGTATACTCGGCGTACCTGCCCCTAAATCCAGGGGGTAGGGTGGGTCACAATTTGATACTTAATACATTTTCTTAGTTAAGTGAGTACGTACGGCTGCATTAGTTTGCTCTGATTTCAATTGAAGACTACATGAAGCTTTCAGATGGCCTTTAAGACATGGAATATAAACACAAGACTCAAGTTGGCTGTTGGATGGCAACAGTTTGCGAAGTCGGGGTAAGTTCCCAGCAAAAAAGGAAATTCTAGTGGACTTGGCCTTTTTTAGTTGTGCGCCCGGTTTTCATAAAATCAGGTATATATCTTGGGTGAATGATGGGATAGCTGGTAAATTAATTCTGCAGCTGACTAACATGATGTCATGTAGTGCCAGAGGCCACCTTAAAGTGAACAAAAGTTGGATTTTCTTAGAAAATATGCCTGGAGTTTTAAAAACGAGTGCAGAAATCTCGCCTGAGATCCGGGCAGGAGCACAGCGGCAGGCTGTGCTTCTCCCTGGACTGGCCCTCTTATTTCTAGGGGGCTTGCCGTCAAGGCTAATCTGGCTAGACACTACAGGAGCAGGGCTAGTAGGCCAAGTGTACTCGGGGTGTCTGCCCTTAAATCCGGGGGGGTAGGGTGGGTCAGAATTTGACTTCTAAAGCATTTTCTTGGTTGAGTGAGTAGGTATGGCTGCATTAGTTTGCTCTGATTTCAATTGCAGACTACATGAAGCTTTCAGATGGCCTTGAAGACATGGAATATAAAAACAAGACTTAAGTTCGCATTTGGATGGCAACAGTTTGCGATGTCGGGGTAAGTTCCCAGCGAAAAAGGGAATTCTAGTGGTCTTGGCCCTTTTTAGTTGTGCGCCCGGTTTTCATAAAATCAGCTATATATCTTTGGTGAATGATGGGATAGCTGGTAAATTAATTCTGCAGCTGACTAACATGATGTCATGTAGTGCCAGAGGCCTCCTTAAAGTGAACAAAAGTTGGATTTTCTTGAAATATATGCCTGGAGTTTTGAAAACGACTATAGAAATCTCGCCTGAGATCCGGGCAGGAGCACAGCCGCAGGCTGTGCTTCTACCTGGACTGGCCCTCTTATTTCTAGGGGGCTTGCCGTCAAGGCTAGTCTGGCTAGACACTACAGGAGCAGGGATAATAGGCCAAGTGTACTCGGCACGCCTGCCCCTAAATCCAGGAGGGTAGGGTGGTTCAGAATTTGACACTTAATGCATTTTCTTGGTTGAGTGAGTAGGTATGGCTGCAATATT